AACCTTTTTTGGGGGTTCGGTAAAAAACCGATTTTTTTTAGAGTGTATCGTCTAGTGGTAATCCGTGCGCTCGAGGTGCAGGATTTCCTTGTAGTTCGTTTAAATGTTCTTGTTCCCAAACTTCCTGTCTGTCTTGTGAAGTCATTCTTTCTAAATAGTACTCTTCCAGCTCTCGTTCTCCGAGTATCTCATCCATCAGTTCGTCAAAGTTAGGCGAGCGTCGCTGCAAGTATGCATAGTGCTCGTGTTGTTCTCGTTCTTGTCGATATCGTTCCTGTTGTCGTTGAGCTACGCGTTCTTGCCATTGCTCGTATCGTCGTTGGTTTCTTTCTTGACGTTGACGTTGCCGTTCTCACTGTTCTTGTTGCTGTTGTTGTCGTAAACGTTGGCGTTCTTCTTGTTGTTGTGGTTGTCGTCGCGCTTGTGTTTGTTGATGTCGTTGTTCTTGACCCGCATCCTGTGTTCCGGTTCCATGATCGTGTTGTTGAATATCTGAAATCATATTTGTCGAGTTGAATTGTGTCAATGATAGCTGACTTGTAGTTACGATTCCGACCGATAATAGTTGATCAATATTAGATTGGCTTACATTGAGTGTATTCAATAGTTCTGACGGAATATGACCCGGTTGGCTGTTTTCCGTACTCATTCTTAAAGAAACAAAAAAATATTCGATCACTAAACGTATTTTTGATTATGATACTCACATTAAATGAATTGATCTTTGCTCGTAGGAAAAATAGTTTTGTTCAACGAAGGTAAATAGACTAGTGTATATCTAGAATAATAAAGAAATGATAATTTTCTATGTTGAACATGATTCTTTGTGTAAGAACGAAAGGTTATGAATAAAAATGTGAACTATACAAAAGAGCAATAGTCAGAGTAAATGAAATGTCTATTTGGTGTCTTGTTAAGGTTTTAGATGTATATGTTTGCACAATGGTATTGAATAAATTTTGTCTACTAATCATTGTTGTTCTAGTTGTTGCATCTTATGGTACCTCATTCATTAACATTGCTTTTGGTGGCTTCTTCTTGACTAATAATTGGGTTAGATTTTTATTGCTTCTTGTGCCAATTTTCAATTGAATATTGTGCTTTATTGCATTTTTTTATCTTCATCTTCAACTATATCGTCATCATATTCATGAAAGATATCATCGAATCGATCAATATCTGGTTCAACCTATATTAAAATATGTTGTCTTAGAAAATCATTCAAAATCTTTAAAATAATACATACATCTTCGCCTGAATCAGTGAGTGGGGCTTTTTCAGAAATGAAAAATTCAATCTAAACAAGTATTGAAATCTGAAATAAGTAATGCAAAATTCTCTAAAATTGAATAATAAAAGAACAATTTTCTTAAAAAAAATTATATTAAAGATCGACTTATATCTCTCTCTAATAGAATTGCTCTCTAATAACCTACAAACGGACACAATTTATATAATATTTAGAATGAAATCTGAAAATTCAGTTACAATATGCAAAAAAAACGATATCGAATGTGTCGAATAAGTTATTTTTCATAGATTGAAAGAGTCTTATGCCGAGACATTAATTTTAGAGATGTAGATTTGCTTCGGTGATAGTTCAATTGGATTTCTTGTCTGTCCGAAGTTTGGTGAAAGCACGAAGTTTTAATTTGTAGACAGATACAAGGTGTTCACTAATATTGTTGAAACGTTTTATCATTATATCGAACATAACTTTAGTTAATATTCTATCGCATAGATGTGTAGATTCATTTTCTTTTAATTTATTCATTGCATTATTAAACTGTAATCGATATTGATTTGCTCGAAATTCAGCAGCTTCAACATAAACGTGCATCATATCAACTTTTGTTCGTTGTAAAATTTTATCATATCGATCTTTTAGAGATTGAGCTGTCTCCGTATCCATTATTGT